ATTAATCGATTCTTCATAATTTTTAGATGAATTTGTAGAGCTAACATTTCTCTATAAGTCTGCAAAAAAATGGTAGAAAATTCCGAAAATTGATCGAGTTATAACAAATACAAGTGAAAAAAGTGATATTTTTTTTTGTCTGAAATTATTTCACTCTACACTACTTAAATCTTACAGTGTTTCAATTAAATTTTAAATCAATAATAACAGTAAAGTAAAAGTATATGTTCATATATATATATACTGCTAATATAGCCGATATAACTTCGACTACGATTATAATGACAATAAACATAAAAAAATAGAAAAATAACTAAGTTACTCATCATTCAAGCTTATCTTGTATTTTCATCGAAACAATAAAATTTTATTCAATAAGTTTCGTCCTATATATATTCGTCGATTGCAATAAACATGACCGAGTTGGAAAAACTGTTTCTCAACACTAATTGATGTAATAGGTGTATTACATATTCGTCCTATGAAATAAGAACCATTGTATATGATTAAGTATAAAAACAACTAAAGCAGTAGAGGAATGAAAGAATGAATAATGACCGTAGCTATATGAGGAACGTAAGAATAAAGAACGAAAAGAAATGACAGACGAAATTTGTAATTGGGTGAATTGACGGGTTGTACATGAAGTGGTAAATCCGGCCCGTGAATCCGTAAATTACGTAAATGCTTGACTCGTGAATCCATAATTTATCAGAGGACTAACTCTCGAGTGGGTTACCGATCGGATTGACGAGTCAGACAGGTCAAGTCAAAACGAATCAAACCGTCAACACTCTGATTGACATCTATCATAAAATATTTTCGTCATAAATAACCACAATCATCCATCTCACATATTTGTATAATACAAGATGGTTCATTTTATGTTTAATTATTTTATTTTCTTGCCATTTTTCTTTTTTAATACTATCATTATGTATTTTCACGTAATGATAAGATGAATGAAATTTTTTAATTTTATACCATGATGAATATAAAAATAGTCAAAGTGAAAATAAATCTTTAGATTTCATCATATGATGTAGAGTTAGAAATTCATTTCTCAGCGTATAGGAAATTTTTATCTAAACGCAAAAAAAAACTTTGGTTTGAAGATCTTATTTACTTACCTTTCTATTATTTTCGAACACTCTTAGAAGTAAGATAATTAATTTAAAAAAATATATATGAAAATCTACCCTATTTTGTCAATAGATAAAATCTAATCAGTTTTAATTCGAATTCTATCTTACGATATTTTTTAATAATATGTAAATTTTCTTGTGTTTTCATTGAACAATCATTTATGATAATATAATAGATCAAATTGAAAAACTAATTTTGCTTCATTCTATGTATTATCAAACAAATAGAGGTACATGTACAGAATGAGAACACTATCTATATGAATAACATAAAGACAGAATAGAAAAAAAATTTATTGGAAGTGAAGATAACACTATTGAACGAATATATTCGTTCAATAATGTTATCTTCACTTCCAATAAATTTTTTTTCTATTCTGTCTTTATGTTATTCATATAGGCCTTGTCTCCACTAGAAAAATAATACAGTATTAACTTCGTATTAAAATGATGCGTGTCTACACTTAGAAAGTTAATGCATCAATCAGAATCTAGAACGAAATGTCGCTTTCATTAATTCAATTGGAACACATGAACTTAATGAGACTTTGATTGGTGCATTAACTTTAATTCGCTTTCGAAAGCACATTAAACTTAATGCGCTTTTGAAAGTGCAATAAATGCGAATTAAATTTTCCACGAATCAAGTTTCTTAATTCGGTATTAAATTTTCTAGTGGAGACAAGGCCATAGATAGTGTTCTCATTCTGTACATGTACCCATATAGATCTGAAGTATTAGAGTACAAGTACAGAATAAGTACATCATCAATATTCATATACAAAGACTAGGTTGAGATAAGCTACATATACTTTTATGTACACACAAAATATCGCCATTGAGTCATGTTGCATATATCCTTTAAACGAAACACAAACTTAAAAGAGGGCGTTAGTTGCTAACATTGACTTTTCCTTATTGTACAAAATTTCCAACTAAACTAGATTCGTAGATTATCTTTTGTAAACTGAATATATAAAATAATCATAGTCATACGTTGTCTTATAAAACTAAATCAATTTTTAGGGAAAAGCCTTTGCGAATTCTAATATAAATATCATCAACATCCTTGGTTAACGTTTCAAGAGAGTTATGTATAATGTATATAAATAAAACAATAATATTTCAACGTGATACTAGCAAATAGATAAATTCATTTTATGAATAAGAAAAATTGTCGTAATAAAAATAAGTCAAAATCGACTACAAAATAAATAAATATCTTCTAAAATAACACACCTTTAATGATATTACTGGATAAGAAATCGATTATGATCAAAACTAATTCAAAAAAAGCAAAATTTAATTTGCTATTCTAATTAATGTCGGTTATAATAATTAAATATTGATGAAAAAATGATTATAATAGCTTTTGCTTGATGATAAATAGCACAATCACAAAGCATTCTCTCTGGTTTGCATTAATTATAAGAATTTTTTTATCAATTTTTTGATTATTATAGTCAAGATAACTTAGATTAATAAATGATAATTGACTTTTGGGATTATTTTGATTATAATCTACACCTAATCCATTAATAATTCACTAAAGGTGTATCATCTGAATCCAATCTTGTTAACTAATATTTTTTACATGAATGTCTTGACAGTTCTTTTTGATATTGTAAATGAACCAATCGATTTGAGTATAGATATCTGTATAAAAAAATAATGTATAAATATAATTAAAACAAATTATTTATATTTACACCAGATATTGTATGAATAACACGAGCTGGTAAAGGTGATGTGAACAGAAAAGGCGTTGATGTTGCAACTACATTTGACTAGAAAGAAAAAAAGAAAGATTTAATTATCATAATTTATTAATATAAGGTTTAATTGATGCATCAAATGAAAATGTTGATAATTATGAAAATATTTTAAAATCTTATTTATCAAGCATGAAATATATAGAATGGAATAGTTTGAATAATTATATTAATTGTAAAAATGGTGAAAATTTAGTAGAGAAATATGAAACAAGAACATTTTCTTTTGATCGATGATTACTTAAATCAGACCCTAATCAACAACAACATATTCATATGAGAAAATTTTTTGAAACTGACTTAGGTAAGACTATATCAAATAAAAGTCTCTCACGTGGCGATTAAAAAATAAAATGGATTTAATTGCTCAACAAATGATTATTCGAAATGAAGCATTAGCAAATATTTTGACAAAACATTATCGAAATCATATTTATCTTTCTATTCATTAACATCTGAACAATGGTGAAAAATTTGCAGGGTGTGGGTGTAGGTGAGTGTGGGATGTGGGTGTGGGTGAGGGTGTGAGGTGTGGATGTGAGGTGTGGGTGTGTGGGTGGGTGTGGTTGTGGGTTTGGGTGTGGATGTGGGTGTGTGGGTTTGGGTGTGGGCGTGGTACTTAGTCTTCTCTTCACTCATACCCACACCCACCCTCTTTTGTCAAATATAGATAAATGCTCAATGTTTTTATTCATATGAGAAAAATCGATAAATGCTGCGTTAAGACGTGCTAAGTGACTCCAATAAACAATTTGATATAGTACAATTCCCAAAAAAATACATGTGTCGCACATTTTCTATCAGTTACTGTGAATAAGTAAAGCTTTGCAGGCTCAGTCAATTTCAACAAATCCGGCTGATTTTTTTGTTGCAGAATATTCAAGCACACATAAATTTTTATTGGTTTTAAATAAAACTAAATGTCTTACAATTGGAAGTTGTCAAGTGCACACATTATTATTTTCACACTTCGCGATTCATCTTTTTGTCCTTGTTAAAGCTACTTAGCATGTCTTAACGCAGCATTTATCGATTTTTCTCATATGAATAAAAACATTGAACATTTATCTATATTGGACAAAAGAAACGATGTCATGTCAATAAACTAAAGCGGAGATATTCACCTGTGTATAAGCGTCGCCCACCGGTGGGCGACATCGTGGCAAATGGGTTAAAATGACAGAGAAATCTGGCATGCATGGAAACGTAACAACCAAAATTTTTTAGAAAAAACGTTCTTTTTCCTATATGAGGGCTCAGAAAAACCTATGTAGTATCCTTAAATCTCAGCATAAAATCAATAAACTACAGTGTATTCGAGAGCAGACACTTTGCTCTGTCTAAGGAGCTATAAATCACAAAATTCATACATTTGACCAAAATTGCTTTTTCTGAGGGCATCTTAAGTATCTCAAAGTTAAAAAAATAAAGTCAATAAATATTTGCCTTTTTGCCGCATTTTTCATCATTAGATAGAAAACAAGAACGAAAAAGTACTCGCGTCATTACACATAAATGCGATAACTAACACCACATTAAAAAATAGGTGACCTTTTGTCTTTTCAATTCAATGAGCGTTGTTTTCGGAAATGAATTCACTCGTTAAATAGACCATCTAGAACACTCATATTGAAACTTATATCTTCCTTGTCGCGAAAACTGATTCACAATAGCCATTCCATGTTTAATAGTTCTTTTTTTTATATATGCGAAACAAGACCTTTTATTTATACTTGTATTTATTCAGAAAGAGAAATATTTTTGTTGCTCTACACACGTTTTCATTCTGTTTCGTTTTACCCAATCTCTAAGTAAGAACGGGCGTGATGGAGAAAAATGTGTTTTTGTTGTTTCTATTCACAATATTTAGAAAGAAATAAAATTGTTTTGTATTCTTATCAGATATACGTGTCTCTACAGTATTATAATAAAAACAACGAGTGCGAGTGCGCCTAACAAGAAACAATGTGTTTTATGTAACAAAAGTGGTGGTATATTAATTTGTGAAGGATGCCAACAAGTATTTTGTGGTAAACATGTTAATGAACATCGACAAGAATTAAGAGGAGAATTAGATAATATTATGCAAGAACATGATTTACTTCAACAAGAATTAACACAACCATCATTAAAGAAAAATTATCTATTAAACAAAATAGATAAATGGAAAAAAGATTCAATCACTAAGATTCAAGTCGCTGCTGAGACTGCACGAAAAACTTTACAAGAATTACTTGAACAATCAAAGAAAAGCCTTTCAAAAACATGTCATGATATTACAGAAAATCTTCGTACATCTCTTGAAGCTGATGATTTTTCTGAAAATGACCTTATACGATGGAAGAAACAGTTGAAAGAACTTCAATTAGAAATGACGTCACCATCATCAGCTAAATTAATCCCAGATAAAAACGCTCCCATTTATTTAATGACACTCAAAACTAATGATTCTTCTAATGATCAAGATGCAAACAGAAAAAAATCTTCAGCATCCTCAAACTCTCCTAATCAAGATTTACAAGAAAGGTTCTTGCAAACACTAGGTCCTGTTAATCTTGAAGAAAATGGTTATCTTGCCAAATGTGTTGATGCTGGATCAAGTTTTGCATATATTCGTGGTCGATTTCTGTATTCTGATGGTTGTCATACAATCCGGTTTAAAATTGAAAATTACCAACAACCTTATCGTATTTTCTTTGGATGTATGGCATCTAAAACAGCTTTAAAGGAAAATGTTTTTATAACTTCTGATTCTGTAGGATGGTTTGGACATGATCAAGTCTATGAAAATGGACGTTGTAGTAGTAATGTTCAAAAGTATGGATATAAGAGCAGTGCCATAAAAATTAATGATGTGTTATATCTTACAATCGATTGTAAAACAAAACAGATAAGACTGTTTCATGAACGTTTAAAAACAATATGTACTCTTTCAATCAACGAAAATTTAACTCCATTTCCTTGGCAATTTTTATTGGTATTATGTAATTCTGGTGACACTGTTAGGATTTTACATAATGCTTAAACTTTATATTGTAAAATATAAATGAACATTCGGTTTTTTTTCAACAAATCAAATAAGCGAGTTTAAGTTTAACAAGAAAGTATCGATGGGTTTCTATTAGATTTCCAAAAATTTTAATTGAAGTATTTTATTAAAAGAAAATTTTTTATAATAACTGTTCTTATTTATAAATTGCATAATTTGATAAACAACGTACCCCTGTAACAAATCAAACCAATTTTTGAACACATGAAACTTGACATTGGGTATAAAATTAAGTATATTGATGGATAAATTGATAATCAAGTTCAATATAATTATCTGATTTATCTTTAGTGACAAAACGATATTTCTATCTACTAATTTTGTAGAGTTTATATATATGGTCGAAGAAAATAGTAAGTATAAATTTTAAGCCACAGTGTAGCATCCCTCATTGCAGACCTTAGTAACCAAAGACAACAGGCATCAGGCTCTTTTCCCAGAGTTCGTTAGTGACGAAAAAAAGGCGTTGAACGTTTTTAACAACATGACTTAGACTGTTCTAGAACATTTCAAAGTCTTTCTCGGAATTTTTATTGGGTGTGGGTGGTGTGGGTGTGGGTGTGAGTGGGTGGGGTATGGGTGTGGGGTGGAGTGGGTGTGGGTGTGTGTGGGTGTGGGTGTGGGTGGGTGCGGGTGTGTGTGTGGGTGTGGGTGTGGGTGTGGGTCTTCTTTTTATCAATACCCACAGTTACACCCCATACCCACAGTTACACCCCATACCCACAGTTACACCCCATACCCACAGTTACACCCCATACCCACAGTTACACCCCATACCCACAGTTACACCCCACATTTTAATTCTGATGTAGCACGTACTGACCGTTCATGTGCTTTGTTCAACAGAAGTGATAAAGCACCAAAATATTGTAATTTTCCTAACATTGATGGTATTGGTTTATCTTCACCTTCTTCATAAATAGCAGCTGTACCTTAACAAAAAACAGAAAAAAAAAATTAAAAGGAAAATAAAATAAATTTTTTTGTTATCTTTTTTTACTACCTTCCATAATAATGTAGAAATTTGTACCTATTTGACCTTTTTCAATTATTATTTGATCAGGTTCAAATTCCTTTATTGACATATGATTAATCATTAGACTCTTTCGATCATTATCTAAATTATTAAATAATCTTATGGAATCGACTAATGTAGTACAAGCTTCAAGTGTCTAAATGATTAAAAAAAAACAAAAAAGTCTTTAAAAACTGGAAAAAAACTCTATTTACATTATTTATGGATGTAATACACTCTTCAACTTGTTTATCAGTTAAATCCACATGATTTGATTCATTATGAGTATTTAAAACATCATCATTATCATTTGGATCATTATCATTTAAATGATGATTATTTGATTCATCATGATTTAAAACACCATTATCATCATTACCATTTGAATCTTCTAAATTAAAGATAAATATTTTATTTTCATTAAATTATATGCCTACGATTCATTTTTATTCTTTTTTTT